CTCATATTATTACTGATCGTGCCCGAACTCGACTCGACAAAGATCGACTAAAACTCGTTCTTAGGTCGGATTTCAGACCTCTAACAAGAGAATTCTCCTCGAGGTGATTAAAAGGTTTAAAAGTGACATTTAAAAGGATAAGGGCTCATATGCCTTTCTTCCGAAATTATGCCCATATGTAGGTTCCATGACCCTTAGTATACACTAAAAGTTTCAACGAAAACAGATGTATCTTTCTCGAGATATACCAAAAAAATAGCTAATTTGTCTGATAATCATATATACAGACACGTTTTTTATACTGTTCCTGTAGAAAAGGCAGATTATTCTTGAATAAAACCATTTCTTTATATTTCTTCTGATAAATGGGACAACCGGAACAATTCGAAAAAAAAGATGAAACCGAATAAGCGGAATTCGAAACACGGGAAAGTTTGTCCCGCAGAACTCTAACATTATTATAAGAAAGCTGAACCCCATGTTTTATTTCATTAAGAGCTACATCGATAAGCTTTTTTCAAAGTTCTTTCAGTAAGATTAAGTTTATTTTCTGTCAGATTGAAACATTTTAAGAAAAGAAAATAAGGATTTTTCACATATCTAAATCTACTTTTGATGTATTGAGTCTCGATTAACTCAGATATGGATGAATCTGTAGGGTTTCTAACGCCTTTATAGGAAAAGCTTTTTTCACAAAAGTGATGAAAAGCCCACGAATTCATCCATATATTCAATTAATATAAAAACAATTGTTGTCCAAAATCTCAAGAAAAGAAAGTTTTCATTTACCTCGATATAGAAATATCTGTCAAACTATCGTAACTAATATTCTTTTATTTAAAATAAACTTACCAGTTGTCCATGGAAAATCATGTGGCCGCCAAAGACGTAATGTATGTAAATTAGGCATATCAATCTTGAGAACAGGTACAAGATGTTTACCAATATTAACTGATTCATTTGAACCACGATGACAACTAGGAATGCCAAATTCAATATATCGAACAGTCATTAATGCGTCCTTTTTTAATTGATTAGATGCCTAAAAATAACATACGAAAACAATTATAATTATACAATAAAAATAAAACAGGGTCAAAGAATAAATGATAGATTTTAAATAATAGAAAAAGGACAACTGCAGAATGTTTGTTAGACAAAACTCAGAATGTGAAATATTAAACATGATATGATCTTTTTCATACTCGAGAATTCTGTTCATAATTGAAAAATATCAACAGAATTTTAATTGAACTCATCTTGTTAAAATGACGTAATATTGTGTATATTTCTTCAAGAGAATGAACATTAATGATATACTTTACTATTGAGGTTAATATTCTGACACAGATTGTTTCTTTTTTAAAATTATAAGAAAAATTTCGTTTTGATTAAGAAGAATATATATTTCGAAGAGTTTGTCTTCCATTATTGAATTTCTCTTTGTTTTAAAATTCTTAGCAGAATTTTATTTTTCGAAGACGGAAAGAGTCTATTTATAGAGTTTATTTTCCTTTATTGGCTTCGCTATTTCATAAAAATACTACTATTTTTATAAAATTCTTAATACAACATTGATTCATTAGCGAATCTAGAATTTTTATGATAAGGGAAGAGGCAGGGCCACTTCAACACGGAATGGAGACGATCATGGCCAAAAAACGTGTTTTCAAGTCCATTAGACGAAGTATCGACTCATTTTGGAGACTTTTCTGCTGAGAAAAACTAAAAAAAAAATTGAAGTAGGAATGTTTGCCCTCATGGCTCTTTCCCTAAATCTGCCACTATGTTGGTTTGATCGGGAAGAAAATGTATTTGACAAAATTTATCTTCTAGTAGCAACTGTAAAATTCTAGTGAGTCTTTTGTATTTTCAGGAATTTTTTTTCAAAGCGGATATATGTGACAAAGTTTATATAATAACACAAAAATTAGACTTTTAGCAAAATTCCATTGGATGAAAATTCTACTAGTTTTCATATAAAGAGATCTAAATATTGATATAATTTAAGAAGATAGATTCAAATAGAATAGATGCTTACATATTCAATGATATGCAAGAACCATTGGAAATTTTCAATTATAACATATTTGAGTTGCACAGGCATTGAAATAAGTTGAGCAAGTACTTTCGCACGTTCTTTATTTCGATTTATTGATTGATCACATGCATCTGAAAGAAAATTCTTATGGATATTTTATTTTTGAAAACCATAATTTTCAAACAGCAAAGGTAATTTATTCTAGTCAGTATTTTTAATCGTTCATTTAATAGTTCTATACATTGCGAGAATAAGAGCTAAACAATAGACAAATTGTTTTACCTGATAATTCGAAAAACGATAGTATTTCAAAGGAAACATTAGTTTTGTCTTCTTATATGAATGATAGATCGATGGAGAATAACGCTTAGTTTTGAAAAAGATATTTTTAATAAATATTTCCAAAGAAATTCAAAATGAAACAATAAATAACTGGTATTCAAGGAAGACAGAATCTGTCAGTGTTGTGTCAATATCTCCATTAATTTTTATTATTTATGATTAGACATGAATTCTTTGTCAAAAAGTTTTTCGTTCAGCTCTCTCTACAAATCTGTATAAAAAAAGCATTTGTGGGGCAAAAACTTCCGACGAAACTTTCCAAGGTGACACTCTGTTTTGACTCATTTATATCTTATTAGATAGAGTATATTAAAATAATAAAAATACTGAGAGAATTTTTCTCCATGGCGCTTCTTTCAAAAGCTATGGCCGTGTTATTGAATCCTGAAATACAAACATTGAATATACTAGTGTACATGAGCAATGTCGAAGACATATTTTTACCAGGGCTGTATCTTACTTGTTAGGATAGAAATAGTGAAAAGATCTGAAACTTTCACAATAAATCATGCTCGACAAGGCATATCCTTGGGCAAAGTTTCAAGTCGAAACTCGAATATTAGTTTTCTTGATGTTCTTCATGAGAACCATGGAATTCTGTTAAAAGAATACTGTAAAAATGTGCTATTTCGTCAACAATAAGCTAAAGGCCCGAACTCTTTTCAGAGTTTTCATAGCCCATCAAGGACTACATGATGTGCATAGCCTCGACTTAAAACCGATTGAACAGTTCATGGCCTGCTCTCAGAAGTTCTAGATATTTACGGGAAAAGTCCCCATGGAGTAAAATATTCAAGGAAACGGACTGCGTAACGCGTTTCTGAGATTGCAGCATGCGTTTCGCCGCGTTTTTTCAATATAGAACGCGTTTCACAGCATTCTTACTTCGATAGAATGCGTTTTGCTGCTGTCGTTTTTTGAAACGATCTGAAACGCGTTTTTCCAAGATTGCGTTTCGAAGCGTTTCCGAAGTAAAATAATGTCGAACGCATTTCGGTCGATAGGTAACGCGTTCCAGAGACACAGATTCGGAGAAATGTGAAACGCGTTTCCTTTTCAAACGCATTTTGCATCGTTTTTGTTTGAAATGAGGCAAAATATATCCGTTTTGCATACAAAATCTTGCAGCAATTTATCTGTACAAAACGTACGAGTTAAGCAAAGTTAATTCTGGCACTATTTTAGAAATTATACTAAATGGGATTTGAATATTTTGTTCCTTGCACTGTTTCTCAACATGAAAATCATGACCCAAACTTTCCAAACGCAAAATTAAAATCGAATTCTTCTAAATGTTTAGGCTGCTAGACTGTTATATAAGTCTGATTGGTAGTTAGACTAATATTTAACATCAAAGTGTAAGAAAAATATTTTTTTCTTCCTTGAAAACTCATTTCACTAGGTTTTTATTGAAAGGAAACGTGTTTCGTAACGTTCATCCAATCATTGTTTTAAATATTGAACAATTCGAAAAGATTTAGTAAAGACTGATGTTAGTATAATGTGTACGACAACTTTGTTTGTTTATTTGTGAAGAAAAGAATCTCGAGTTATTTATAATTTGAATAATTATTGGTATGAATTCATATTTGGACTACTTGATAGTAACTGATGATACTGTGTACAATACTATTAAATATGAATTTAGTTCGTACTTTGTTAATGTAAGCGTGACTTATTAATAAAAAGAATATTCGATTTACAAAAGAAGATTCTTTGCATTTAGTGATACTTTTGGATAAAAGGATGACGAATTTACATATACAAAAATCTATCAAATAAAGAAAACAATTCAAAAAATTTATTTTTAAATTTCTTAAAATTTATATCTAAGAGATTCAACTTGTTGAAATATTAAATACAATTTAAATTAATTAAAATCGTTTCAATTGGGTATTTAAATTTAAATTTAAACAAGTTCAAATAAAAAATATACCAAGAGGAGATCAAACTCGTTATTGGGTCTAGGCACCAAGGAAATGATAATTTTTAATTTAATGGTTTAGGATACTGAAAATCTAATTTAGTAAGTTTACGGAAGACTCTGAAAGACTATAGAATAAGCACTTATATCATTAGATTATTTTAGTTGAACGGTTTGTACACATGTCTTCTACTCTTATGTTCTCGTGTTCGAATCTATGTGTTGGCTTTATCAAAATTGATCTAAGTTATAGCTCTAAAGGTGTATGAAAAATGTAAGCGAGTAAATTAATTGTATCTGCAACTCAAAGTGCATGAAGTACTTGACGGTTTTCATTTTTTTCCATCTAGAATATACGACACCACAGTTAGAGAAACGCTACGAAACGTTTTTAAAAAAACGATCGTTTCACAGCGTTCGTATTAGCAGATGTGAAATGCGTTAAACCGGTCAGCATTAACGCGTTTCGCAACTATGGAAAAATGCGTTTTGAGAACGCGTTTTTTTCGCAGAAATTTACGCCATGGGTCTAATTAGGAAATTTTGACATGAAATTTTGCCTATAGATGGGTCTAATAACCTTTAGAATATCCTGAAATTTTCAGTCTTGAGATATTGAATTTTTAAATCAACTCGGTTTTTTGCGATCTGTTTGCAGCAGACAACTATGTTGTAGAAATTCAATATCTCAAGAATGAAACATTCTTTTTGGCTGCATCTTTCAGAATATTCTAAAGGTTATTAGATCTATGTATAGGCAAAACTTCAAGTCGAAATTCCTTACTTTGATTTTTCCCGTAAGTACCTAGAAGTAGGTCGAAAATTCAATAAGGCGACGCTAACTTTGGAAAGAAGAGTCATGGAGGAAAATCCTCTCAGTATCTTTACTATCTCAATATACTCTATTGAATGAGATATAAATGAGTCAAAGCAAAGGATATCACCCAGGATGGTTTCCTCGTTCGTGTAAAACATCATGAATAGAAGACTGCAAGACAAGAAAAATAATGTATTTTCTAAGAATATTTTTCTGATTTTGTTTGTTAGATATGAAACATGTGAGATACAAAGAAATCTAATGAACTCTTTTCAAGTACTTTTTATTGACTACAAGTCAAAATTTTTTCAATGTTTTGACTCATATGCAGATAAACTTTGACGTCACTTCATGAAACTTCTACATCTATGCTATAAAAACAAATTTTCCAACTAAACATCGTTATTATTTTGAAAATAAATGATTTGTCCATCTGCTCCACGACTGTCTGGTATATATTTTATGTTTCCTATGAAAATATTTTCGAAGAGAAGACAAATTTCGACGATTCCACGTCGTTCTGAAAGAAATACTTGTATCTGTATATCAATAGTCGGTTTAAACGATCTTTTTTGAGTGTAATGAGAAAATAGCTTTTACAAAAGCTTTTGTACAGAAGTAAAAGAAGAATCTATCGACAAAAAATTGAAGTCTAACCAAAGCCGAACAACTATGAACTTTTTCAAGTACGAGTATGAGTCTAGCGACGCAACAAGAATTTCGAATAGGACTACTTCGAAACATGTGTTGAACAGTGTTACCGCATGATCATCAAGTATATATAAGTACACTTTTACATAAGATTGAAAGACAAAATACGTATGTGTCTCCACTTTAATATAACACATTTATCTAAAACAAAACTGACGATTGTCGTTTTTTGCTCTTGTAATATTTCATTTTTTTCTTATTAAAATTAATCCAGCGGCGTCACCCGACAATATTGCAATGATTTATTTCGCAACTTTACTTAATTAATTTTTTGAGTTACATTCGTACTCCTTTATGGATTGAACAAAATCTTGGTCATTCTTGTATACAGATACCAATATGACCAGCAAAATTGATCCAGAGATGTTGAGAAATAAATCTTTCCAATGTTCTTTAGAGTCATCACTGGTTTGATTTCAACGCAAAAAACTAAAATATTTTGAAGGCAGAAAAACGAATTTATCCAGTCTCATCGTTTAAAGTATTTAATCCTTGAGTACGAATACGAATATGCTCGAAATCGTACTCATGTATTTCACCTAGTTTTGAGTATAACCAACAAAAAAAGATGACAAAACATTGAGTATTATTATGCTTTTATCAAAGCTTTAAATACAAACAAATTGATACTTACACATCTTACGAGTAAAGTAATATCCAACTTTGATTTTTGTAATATTTCACGAATTGTATAATATTCTATTTAAAAAAGTGAAAAATTATTCATTTTGAGTTAATTCTGATTTTTCTAAAGTTTTTTTAACTAATGAAACATAGATTTAGATTGCTATGAATTAAAAGTTTGCATTTTCTATTTATACAAGTTTCTTCTGTGTGTGCTATTCGAAAGTTTAGAATGAATTTCTAAATATATTTCATTTTGTGAACGAAATACACGGAGTCAAATTTGAAATTTTCAATGAAAATTCATTAGAATAAAAAACTGATGAATATGATTAAATGTATGGTAGTTTACAGCTCAAAAGAATTAATTCACCTGATTGATCTACTTCTTCTCGATTCTTTCAATAATCTCAATAATGAACTAAATATCAATTAATTGTTTATAAATTATAAATATCTATTCATTGATGATTAATGAGTTTTTTGGAGATGTGAATTTTTTTAATTCAACTCATTCTAGTTCAAGTTAAGGGATTGTTCTCCTCAAAAATCAGGATTTTCTTCAAAAAAATGGTTTTTGATATAAACATATGAACATGCTACCTAAGTTATCTCGTATAGAAATTCATAAAAATAATTTTGATTTGCAACGGTTTTGGGGGTTTTATGAATAATCGTTGATACTATCTGAGAGAAAAAAAGTAATTTGTTATTCTTCTATCTTCATTACGTTGTTCAACGGTATAACAGTTATAAAGACATTAGTAGATAGTGTCGTCTGTCGTGAATTCGATCGTACGAAGACTATCTGATGTACATCGATAAGTTGCTTTGATTGACATTTTAATATACTTATGATTCATCTCTATTTTAAGTAATAATTGGAAGATTTCATGAAAAAAATATCTTTTGCATTTTTCTCGAAATTGATTTTTTTGATAACGAACGAATTTTTCTTCAATATACTTCATTCGAAAAAGCTACGCTTGTTTTTAATCGATAAATGTATGCATAGTCCTTCAGATGAGGGAAGAAGATTTTATAATTACTCGTCAATATTAGAGAAACTCTTGATTTTCTAGAAAACCATACCTTCGATTTTCAGACTTTTGAGATTTTGATGATCCGAGAAGTAAAATAAAGTAAAATTTTAAAAAAAGCGTTTCTCTCATCCGAACCGGCCAGCATGAACCATAGTAATGAAACCTTGCCCGCATAAGAGTCCTGTTTTATAGCGAGTGACGGATCTAGGATTTTTGTGATGTGGGGCAATCATGATTATAAAACGTATTTTGAAACTCATTAGAGGTAATATCAGCTTATTTTTAAGCCTTTTCTGTTGGAAAAAACTGAAATTTGTTTGGAAATGGGAGCGGTCGTTCCCAGCGCCTTTCTCCTAAATCCGCCACTGCTTGTACCTTGATCTCCTGAAGGGTAAGGTATGGAGGCATAAAAGGATCTCGCCGGATTTCTGAACTATTTTGGATCAAGAAGAGCTACATATGGTTTTGTAGAGCAGGCTATAGCGCATCAAATGGTATATAATAGATCAAGTTTTCTTTGAGTTTTGATTTGATAAGTGTATACACTTGTTATAACGCTTGAAGGATATTATGTGATATTTCTAGACATTACGACTTCCTGGAATATTCTAAAATAAACTTGGTACAATTTTTCTTTTAAAGTCAGTTCGATACAGTTATTGGTACTCTTCAATTTTCTATGAATAATAATTTTCATTGATAATTTTTTCGTTCTAATACGTGACCATTTTCTATAGATCTATGCAATATAGTGACTAAATAGCATTTTAGTGTGCTTAACCTTATGCCGGAAGAACAAGTGAGT